TTGTACCAGTACCAGGCTGTTTTGACTACTGTAGCTGTATAGTAGGTTCTCAGGTCAGGTAGCGTGAGTCCTCCAACTTTATTCTTCTTCTTCAGTAGAGCTTTACTTATTCGGGGCTTCTTCCCTTTCCATGTAAAGTTAATGATTAGTTCTTTCATCTCTTTAAAGAATGTTGTTGGTATTTGGATCGGGATTGCATTGTATTTGTAAATTGGTTCAGGTAGAATTGTCATTTTCACTATGTTAAGTCTACCTATATGATAGCTATGTTTAAAAAATTCTTAATGTTCTTGGGTTTCAGGCTCTTGATCAGTGAGTAATGAAGATTATGCACTAGAGGGTGAAAGATCTTTTGCACCTCTAAAATCCTTTACCCTAGAATGGAAGCATGCACAGAGAGGTTCATTAAATGTGTGTTGGCCATGACAGTGACTGGGAGAGGTGTTTCCCCAGCCTCTGGGCCACTGGCCGCCCGCATCTAGAGCTCTTCGTTCACATGGACTCTAGGCCACGTACAACCCTGTCCTCGTCATCTAATGCTACTCTAACAGAAATACCACAGGTGGATGGCTTCAACAAAGAGAAATTTATTCTCTCACAGTCCAGTAAGCTACAAGTCCAAATTCAGGGCATCAGCTCCAGGAGAAGGCTTTCTCTCTCTGTCGGCTCTGGAGGAAGGTCCTTGTGATGCATCAGTCTTCCCTTGGTCTGGGAGCATCTCAGCGCAGGAACCTCAGGTCCAAAGGATGCGCTCTGCTCCCGGCACTGCTTTCTTGGTGGTACGAGGTCCCCATGTCTCTCTGCTGGCTTCTCTCTTTTATATCTGAAAAGAGATTGGATTAAGACAGTATCTAATCTTGTAAACCTCATCGGTACAACCTCATCACAGTGATAGAATTTACAACACATAAGGAGATCACATGTAACCCATCATAGTGATAGAGTTTACAACATATAAGGAATCACATCAGATTACACAATCATACAGTACTGGGAATCATGACCCAGCCAAGTTGACGGATGTTTTTGGGGGACACAATTCAATTCATGACAAACCCCTGGCCAGTTTCCTCACTCCATTCTACCACCCTCACCCCGCTCAGCTCTTATGCCTTTGGTTTTTGGTTTTTGCTCCACATGAAGCACCTGCCCAAGACAAGGTCCTCCCACACGTGCCTCTCTGCGTTTCCCCCAGCAGGCTGCCAACGCACTTATGCAATTCTGGATCTCTCTTCTTGGAGAGATCTGCTCGCAGTGGCTGTGCATCTCCAGCCCAGTGGGTCTTCTGGTGATCTTTGATTGTCATGTAGGTTTCACCATGGAACTAGCTTATAGGAGAGAGCTGAAGATTTTTAGGGACTGGGCTGATGTTCAAAGAGCAGGATAAATAGGTCACTGAGTGAGTGTAGGAGATTTCATTAGCCGTCTGCCTGGTTAAGTAGAGCCTCCGGAACGTCGTCATTTGTAGCTCGCAGGGAGGAAAATGTCAACCTTGTTAATACGGTCTTTCCTGTCTCTTATTTTGTTTAAAACTCATTTTAAAAAGTCTTTGATTTGTTAATTATTTTCTTCCAAGGATTTTTATTGTTTTTTGTTCAGACATATTGGGATGTAATGTTAGTAGCTTTATTTTTCTTCTTATTACGTTTTGATGAGGAACTCACTGAGATAATTTGGATTGATGCTTGTTATTAATAAAATAATTCAATATGGGCTAGATGTTAAAAATAGCAATGGTCTCATTAAAGTGAGTTCTTATTCAGTCTTGCTAGTGAATCTCTAGAATAGAACCCACAATGCTTCCTCTTGTTCTTTTTGTATAATTTAGCTTGTAAAACAGGCAAAATTGGGACGAATAACCTTTGGTCAGGTTTTTTTGAACTTCCCTCTCTGACCTTATGTTTGTGTCTTGGTTCATTGGGATTTACCTTAGAAGGAGGCGGACCTGTCACATTCGTGAGTGCTTGTTTAGAATTTTCAGTGTGGTACGCTGGGTTGTCAAAAACCAGAACAAGGGGAATTTCGTGAGGGAAATTAACAGCGGTGGGTTGGCGAGAGGGAGCTAAAGAGCGGCTGTATTGGCGAGAGAGGCAGGCTTCTTTATCCCTAGCTACTAGGAGTGGGAGTGGTAATGGAAACTCGGGGAAGGAAGTGCGTTATTTTTCTTATAAACACCATCTGTGGGGTGCGTAAAGGGAGCGTGTTAGTGATTCAGGGGGAGAGAGCCAAGTATTTAGGGCCAAGCCTGAGAGTGAAGGAAGATCAAGAGCTCTGAAGGGGAGGAGGTTTGTGGTGCACGGGTTACCCTACGTTCTTTGCGTTTTCCTCGTTGGTTACCTTGTAGATGCAGCAGCATATTGTTGGAAACTGTTCTTGTTACGTTGCTTCCCTAATTAGGAGGAATAAGACCTAGTTTTAGATACTTAAAAGGACTGAGTGTATCCAGATTCTCTTGTATAAAAACTGTCTGCTCATTGCCATTTCACCGAGATCAGTTGGTGATGAATTTCCTGACGATACCCTTCTAAGTGTTTGTTAAATTTTTTAGGTGTTGATTTTAGCTTTGCTTCGTACATCGATAATTCCATGGTACTGCAGAAGGAGCCTGCTGGGGCGGTGATCTGGGGCTATGGCATAGCTGGAGCCACAGTGACGGTGACTGTGGGCCAAGCGCAGGAGACAGTCATGAAGAAAGTGACACGTGTGAAAGGTAAGGCAGCCCGGCCCCTGTTCAGCTGTTGTCCTCGTCTGCCACCTGCTGGATTATCGGAAAATGGGTGGTTACTTACCTTGTGATAGGCACTGAGTCCCCAGGTGGTGCAAACAGGTTAACAACTTCACTGCTAACCAAAAGCTTGAAGGTCTGAGTCCACCCAGAGGTGCCTGGGAAGAAAGGACTGGTGCTCTACTTCTAAAAAATCAGCCGTTGAAAACGCTATAGACCACAGTTCTACTCTGACGCACAGGAGGGAGCCATGAGTCGGCATTGTCTCGCTGGCAACTGGTTAGGTACTGAGGACACAAAGAAAAATAAGACGAAGTCCAAGTCCCTGTCCTCAAGCAGCTCGTGGAATAATGGATGCTGGTGGTGCAGTGGTTAAAGAGCTCAGCTGCTAATCAGAAGGTCAGCAGTTTGAATCCACCAGTCACTCGTTGGAGACCCTATGGGCAGTTCTATGCTGTGCTGTAGGGTCGCTATGAGTCAGACTCGACTCGACAGCAATGAGTTCGGGTTTTTTTTTTGGTTTAAGGCATGTAGTACAGTGTGATAAAAGCTATGAAGAAGGTGTATATAGGTTGTCATGGGATACCGAAGAAAACATCTGACTCCGACTGGGTGGTTATGGAAGGTTTCCACAGGAGGTGACATGTGAGTGGAATCAATTGTAAGTAAGAGGCAATATGTAGATGTGGTTGAACCTAGGCTATGGAATTCACTGGATTCAGGTCCTGACTCTCATTCAGTGGCTGTGTAACCTTGGAGATGTTTTTTAATCTCTCTGTGTCACAGTTTTTTTATCTGTAAAGTGGAGATAATAATAATATTAATAGAATTATTGTGAGGGTTAAATGAACTAACATGTAAAGTACTTATAACAATGCCTGGCACATGATAAGCATGGAATAAATGTTAGCTGCCATTATTATTACTGTTACTATTGTTATTTAGTCAGTCACGCCAATATTTACTGAGTGCCTGCTATGTGCACTGTACTACGCGAGGTACTGGCGATACAGTGATGAACAAAGCACTATAATCCCTCCTTTAATGGGGCTTGTAGGTCAGGGGAGGACATAGAAAATAATCAGATAATAAGCAAAGTGATAAGTGCCACTATGGAGAAGTACAGGGTGCTCTGGGAGCACCTAGTGGGGGATGATTAACGTAGTCCAAGGCTTGCCTTAAAAGATGAGCGGAGAGAAGCAGACAGAGAGAATGCCTGGGCAAAGACAGGGAGGCATGAGCAAGCTTGAATCTGTGGAGAAATGGCAAACGGGTTGGTTTGTCTGGAACACTGGGGTACGTGACAGTGGTGGATGACAGGAGATGAGGCTGGAAAGGTAGGGAGACTTGTTTGTCATTGCTAAGGAGTGTACAGTTTGTTCTGGATTGATGGATTTTAAGCAGCAAAGCAGAGAATAACACAATCAGATTTGTTTTTTAGGAAGATCCCTCTGGCAGCAGATCTGTGGATTGTAGATTGGTAAGTCTAGAAGTGGACAGACTGGTTGGCAGGCTCTTCTGCTCTTCAGGCAACAGATTATGAGGGCTTGACCCAAGATAGTGGCTGTGAGGATGTTCAAGAAAGATAAAATTAGCGGCCTTGATGAGCAGGGAGATTCTACAAAGGGATCTCTGTCTAGAGGAGATAAAGATGTATACGTTAGTATATGAAGGAGGCCAAGCTAGATGTTACTGGCTGCAGGAAAGCGTGCTCAGGGCTGGGTTAGGTGGAGACCTAAGTATATCTGAGATGTATCTACACAGCTACCATATGTAGAGGTGAGGGTGAGACGTGAGGAGGCTGCTCTGGGAGGTGGTAGAGTTAGTGTTGGAATTGGTGGTTTGAGCATTGACGTGACTATATATATGTGACAGGGAATCTTGTGGAAATTTTATTGGCCTCTGAAAACAAGGATTGCCTGGTTTGTTCTGTTGGTACACAATACTGATACCCAACCCAAACAACAACAAAACACCCAAACCCCTTGCCGTCTAGTTGATTCTGACTCACAGCGACCCCGTAGGACAGAATAGAACTGCCCCACAGGGTTTCCAAGGAGCGGCTGGTGGATTCAAACTGCCGACCTTTTGGTTAGCAGCTGAGCTCTTAACCACCGTGCCACCAGGGCTCCAGTACATATCTAGGAGGCAGAAACTACAAATTACTGTAGAGATAGATACAGAAAACACATAATTGTATATAACATTTAATTTTAAAAAATGTTTGTTTGTGTTATTTTTAGAGTCTTCCTCTTCCCTCCCTCCACCCCTCAATGGCTGTTTCAGGACTAACATGTGGGGTGGGCAGAGATGCAGTAGGAGGGTAGGTGGTGACAAGCAGAAATAAAAGGTAATAATTAAAGGATGAACCTCCCTTTGCCTTTACAGTGATTGTGAAACTTCTCTCTCATTTTGAGTTCAATTCTCTAAACACGTATTGGGGGCTCACGATGCACAAAAACACTGAGCTGGAAACCCTGGGAGATACAAGAGCAGAAACAGTGCCAGTCCTTCAGGAGCTCCTTCTCTCACACCGTCCTATCACGTTTGCTGATTCAGCTTGAGTAGGGCCCTGACTGCTTCATTGCAAAGTGATGGTTGATTTGGAGCAACCAGCAACAACTTGAGGGAAAGCAAGTGATTCACGGACAGTTGATGATAATCTCACGGGAGAAGGGGTTGGTGGGATAGTTCTGTATGTCAGGCTTTCCACATTGGCATGGTAGAGAAGAAAGGCATTTTCATTTACGGAGATCCACAGACCTGACCTGCTTCAGTGGGCACCTTGCGCTGTCCACCCATCCCACCCATGAAGCAAAATGGGTGAAGTGTTGTTTGGAGCAGAGGATGTAGACATGGAGGGAATTTCCCAGGGTAGAAGAGAAAATGCCTCTCAAAGGAGACATGGTAGGGGATACTGAAGGGTTGACTTCTCTTTTAGATTTCGATGAGGACTCTGGGATTTTCAGCCAGACTCCCTCAGTTTGCCACCCTGTCTACCTCTGTTAATATTTAATTTATTGCCTGAATCCCCTAGGTGCTCAGAACAAAGGGGAACTTATGAGGTTTTTGCCTAGCAGACTGACACTGGAGCGCTGGGAAAATTAGAAAGCCTGGTGATGAGTGGGAATGTGGCCAGTAGTGGGTCTGTTCAAACCACATTGTTAGATGATGTGTGATGATTCTCTCAGACTTAAGGAATAAAGTGGAGAGAATAGGGATGTGTGTATGTAGGTAATAAGATGAGGGTATGTCTGTCTGTGTTTGTCATTATGCTTTATGTAAATAGATACAATTCCTCTAACATAGAACCATATAAAAAGCCTAAGAGCTCCCCACCCCCTTGTTGGAATGGTAACATATATACTAGTTTTCTATGCTACATAACAAATGATCACAAACTTAGTGGTGTCAAACAGCACACATTTACTGTCTCATACTTTCTCTAGGTCTGAAGTCCAGCCATGGCTTAGCTGGGTTCTCTGCTCAGGGTCTCTCAAGGCTGGAATCACGGCGTTGGCCAGGCTGTGTTCTCATCTGGAGGCTTGACTAGGGAAGGATCTGCTTCCAGGATCCCTCAGGTTGCTGGCAGGATGCATTTCCTGGGCTCTAGGTTTCATGGCAGTGACGTTTCTGACCTATAAGCCCCCTTTCAAGAGGTTCACCTTAGGTTAGGCCCACCCAGGATAGTCTCCCTTTTGATTAGGGACTTTAATCCCATATGCAGAATCCCTTCACCTTTTCCGTATAACATAACCTAATCACAAGAGTGACATCCCATCCCGTTTGCCACTTTCTGTTGGTTAGACACAAGTTACAGGTTCTGCCTGCATTCAAGGGCGGGGGTTATACAACCAAGCCATTTGCTGTTGAGTCAATTCCAACTCATGGCGGCTCCACCTGTATCGGACTAGAACTGTGCTCCATAGGGTTTTCTATTGCTGATTTTTTGGAAGCAGCTTGCCAGGCCTCTGTGTGAGCTTGAACTTCCAGCCTTCTGGTTAGCAGCCAAAGGCGATGATCATCGGCACCTCTCAGGGTCTCTAGGATTATACAAGGGTGTGACTTACGGGGGTCACCTTGGGGTGTATCTGCCATGTTACGTTTTAAGTAACTTACATGACTGGCTTTATGGACAGAAGAATATTAAAGCTTTTATTTTTCACATTCACATTTGGCGGTGGTGGAAATGAACTTTGGGTTACAGAGTAAATGCAGGTTGGTACGCGGCAGTTTGGGCAGTAAAGCCTTCTTCATCTCCAGGCCACTGCCACAAACCACTGAACCAATTACAGGGTTCTGTGGGGAAGAAATAAGGCCGCTGCTTCCAGCTCTACATTTTTCCTCTTACTGGGAAGGGAAAGGTCGTGGGGAATTTTCCTTTTTCTCTTCTTGGTATCTGAGAGTTTGGCACAATAACCTGAAAAACAATTAACATCTGATACGAATAGCAAAACGAAAAAGTGAGAACATACTTTGTGACTAATTGTGTCTCCAGACAGATGATTTTAATTTTTTTTCCTGTAATTGTTTGCTCTTTCCAGTTTGAGGTGGCGGTTGGTTAGAGAGATGGAGAGAACATGGAAGTAGAGAGTTCCTTACTCATGCCCTTGGCTGGGCTGTGAAGAGAAGAGGAACAGTAAGAGACAGGCCACCAGGCATGCTGTTAGACACAAAACACAAAGCCTAGTCAATTTGTATGGCTCCTTTGTCAGTGTAACCGCTGCAGCCCTAGGGCTCCAAAAGACAATAAAGGGGTGAAATATTTGGGCAAAAAATAGCAATACTGTAATACAGCCAGAGGATGAGCTCCCGAAGGGCCTAAACAGTCTGAAGAGAACTAGGCATCAAGACCTGAGTCTTATTCCTCAAGAACGTCCCTCCCAGGGAAATCTCCCTTTGACTTCCTCAAGGACCTTGGAGAACTTCGTCTGTGCTAGTCCTCAAGTTCTCTTCATTTCTAGCTTTTTCCCTCCCCCATTTGA